AAACCGTGTATATTTTGAAATTGGAAATTCATCGAACGCTTTTGAACACTTCCGAGTACACATTGTACTAGAAAAAAATAACAAATACTTTGAAGATGGCATAAAGTTAACTAAATGAGTAATTCCATCTTCGATTTGTTCAACCGAAAATAATTTGTTAACGCGACGACGCATTTTGGTTACACGTAATAATGAAATAATAAATAAAATGAGAAAAATCATTCGCGGTAAATTAAATCTTTCGAACAATACATTATTGTCAAATCGATTTTTTTTTCTTAGTAATTTAATCGAAAAGAAAAGTTTTATCTGTTTACAAACGATTAGTTGTACGCCCGCGCTTCGCTCTTCTGTTTTGTATATACATATATATTTTATTTTAATTATTATTTCTTCACAGCGCTTTGAATATTCCGTATACCCAATATGGCGTTACAAATGCCATTAAGTTTAACAACAAAGTTCTCTTGAAGTATATTATTATCATGTTCAGAATCCGCATTGATCGATTATCACGTTTAAGTTTTTTTTTTCCTAGCACACGATTGCATGTTCACTTAATTATGATTATCATCAACGGACAGATGATGTGAACCGGTCCTATTTGTATAACATATACGATAAATTCGAAATAAATTGTAAGATGTGGGTGAAAATTGATACGAAAATTAATACCGACATCGTTGTTCATGTTTACACTAATAATTAATAATAATGTCCATCGCGCCGTGGAGTATTCAGTGGTGTAAGCCACCACCAACAATTATACACCTACTCGATGTATACCTCTACCGCACAATTAGGTAAACAAAAAATTATAGTTACAATAATAAAATATTGTGGAAAATAGTAAATATCAATAAGAACGTACTTGACGGTTGCGTACACGTCGGTGTCATTACCACTAACTGCTGTTCCGCGTTGTATTCTAAAATTCCCATTTACATTTTAAAAATCTCACATTATACGAAATAGGAAAGGGAATTGGATTCGCCTCGTCATGTTTTTCGTATTCAAATAAAACGCATTATTGGCCCGAACGTGCACTCGATCGTCTCTGCAGCACTTGCCGACAACCGATAATGTCGAGGCTTTTAACGCGCGGTGTCCGGGAACAAGGCAGTGCGACAACGTGCTTTTATCGGATCGGATTTCTAAGATCTTTGTGCTTGATTTTGACTTTGAGCTCGGTTTATTACGGCTCACCAATTCTAAAATCCGTATACGATAATAATTATCATGTTTCCGTTATCGTCTTCGGGTACCTTTTTCCCCGGTCATCATTATTGCTAATCGCATTTATACTTCCGTGCCTGCGAGCTGTTAGTATTTTGTCATAACTCGAATTGATGCGCAAAACCATCTCACGAGATGGCGAAAACGCACTAGCGATTTGTCCGAATACTTTTAGGTATCCCGTTCAGAATCCCGTCTTATAACAACACCCGCAATCAAAGAAAGTTTTGCGTACCGCATTGTCCGCTCAACAACTGAATTTTCTTTCTCCGATTACATTCGAATTTAATTTTTTTTTTCTTTTTACTTATCTTTTCGGTTATCACATTATAAATATTCAAATATATGTATATTATATATTAAAATGCCTCACGGCGTTCGTTTCGTAAGATAAAAATAAAATAAAGATGGCTTGCTGTAAACGTGTGTAAAAAAATGCGATCGTAAATATATACATGAATTATGGTGCGCGTCGCCCCACCGGGGCGCAGAAATTCGGTCTCATTGTGTGTACGCAAAACCCATTTTCGATCACAGTTCACGACAAAGAGAATGTTAATCGTAGTGTGTCGGTTAGCGTTCTTTTTTTGTTTCTCGGGAAAATAAGAGTGAAAACGTAAAGAAATTATTTTTAACCGTTCAGGATGGTTTCTGTATTATGTGTCTCTACGGGGAAAAAGGTTATATAATAAAATGGAAACAGGTAGAGAAAAATCCAAACCCAGAGTCCTTTCGACGGTGTATGGGTACGTGGACCGGAGCGGAGGCGATTTTACGGTCGTAAAACTCGGTAAGAACTTCACTTTTCACCGACAACATGAATCAACGCCGCCGGGTGATTGATACATTCCGGTATTATCGTTTGGTTTTTAAAGAAAGAGGCAGCGACTCGAGTATTAAAGAATTCGCTGCACAGATACGTATTCAAACCGAAATGTTCATAAAACTACGTAACATAATGTTTAGTGGTGTATTATACTATTATGCTAAGTGCACTGTGCGTATAAATACATATGACGTACCCGTATGGGGATAATTCTATACACAAACATTGTCGTTTTATTCATTATTTTCATTAAAGTCTATATATCAATATAACATACAAGTTCAACGTGTACAAAGTTTTCGCTGTCCATTAAAGTTTTCTCGGTGTACGAAACGTAATTTCATTGTTTACGTTATTAACGACCGTTGGGTGAGCATTTTCAGATAAACTCGATGGGTTACAATACAACAACAGCAACAACGAAACGGTAAGTCGAAAGATACTTTTTTAATAGAATACTAACAAAATAAATAAACTTTATTTAGGTAATTAGAAGTTGGTTATTATTTTGGATTTTATAATAATTACAAGTACTGTGTAATTGTGTACTGTAACGGGGAAAATTAATTGCGACCGTAGCAAACATCCTTTTAATGAATAGTTGAAGACACTTGTTTGCGATTTTGCATTTAGGGAGAGGGGTGGCAAAATTTTGTTGCCCCTGGGCGGTAAAATCTTAAATACGACCCCGCGTATTGTACAAGCGTATATCGTACTCGTATATGCAATACGGTAGGTATGTATTGAGAGATTCTGGTTCGTGGTAGTAACAGTGAAACTTGTATCGCTCGTGTAATACATAACATACGTTAGACGATAAATTTAAGTACTAAACGAATAAAAAGCAGACGGTTAAATATACTACTGTTGCCTTTTGTAGGTGATTAAAAACGACGAATACATCGTTTCACATGCAACTGTTCCGAGTTAACGTAAGCAGTATAATGAGCTAATTAAATCAAAATGTCTAGATACACGGTAAAAATTAACGCGCGAATATTGTACCGACCGAACAGCGCGATAGCGGGGCATTGTTTGATCAAAAGGGGTTACAATAATAATTATTATTATTACTCTTGTTAGAGCACTTGGAGCTTAAAACATTTGCATAAATGTATTTTGTATTTACGTGTGTCGTGTATGTGTGTGTATAATATGTCCATAGCACACAAGGGTCACGCTACGTTAATGCTTATAATACGTTATGAAAAACAGTGTGTGCAGTATGGAGTGGGTAACAAGAAGTAAATCGTATTTCATCCGTATACTTTTGCATAATATTTTCATTTTACCAAATTTCTCGTTCAAATTTTATACCACATACGATTTAATACGGTTCGTGCGGTGACGATTTTAATTGTTTTTACCTTTTGCAGTAATATGAAAAGGGCAAGGACACTTACGGAGGGAAGGGCAAAGAAGCCATAACCCCTACAGGGAATTTTTTAAAACTATTGTTAATTTAATGCCACGCATATTAATTATAACATAATTTTATTGAGATCCATTTATGAAGTTTAGTAAAAATTATTATATTCTTAGATAATCTAAAATATAATCTTGAACATATTTATAAGTTCACAATGTTTACTGTATAAAAAAAAAATTTAAAAAAATAAATATTGTAGTTGTTAGACAATCATTTTTTGTATGCCACCAAGACGTATACAATTTTTATCAAACCCCAAAAACCTTCAATCCAAAAACTTCAGATCTGGTTGAACTTTTTTATCGTATTGTTTAAATTTCAAAGATTTTATTTCTATGGCTTTAAAATTTTCTGTTGACAAATACAAGGTTATACTAATTTAAATAGTAATTCCTTTCTGACACCTAAGATTTAAACTGTAATTAAACTTTATTATAATATTAAATCGTTAAATTTATCGACATCCATCATCGTTATAATTCTTAACTTTATTATGTATTTAGTTGAATCAATAAATTATATTACATATGGTTATTTAGGCCATTATATTTATAAATAACTCTGTGTATAGATCTTGATGTTTATATTTATAAATATATTGTTAATACTGTTTTACACAGCCAAATTTACATAACTAATATATTAATTTATAAATATCTAATAAGTCACATATCAATAGGTAAACAGAAAAATCGATATGAATATTAAAATCAGTATAATAAAATTATCGTTTAATAAAAACATTAGGAACACAACACAGTTAAATATTTCGAGAAATATATGAGATTACAAATCCACCTTAAATATTTTAAATTAATAACTGTAAATTAAGATTAAATGATTGATTATATATTATAATATAATAACCTTTATATTATAATGGTTATTTGATGATACAAAACTCCTATGACATTGAGTCGGTACAAAGTTGAAGTCCGATCAATAACAATAAAACAAATGTCTTAATGTTTTTGTTGTGTTGGTTTCAAGCTTAAAAATTCTTATATTTTACTTATCTCTAAAATCATTAAAAACTATTCTCCTCAAAATTGCATTTATGAATTAATTATTTTACACTACTTAAACGAAAATCATGTCTAATTTGCAACCAATTCAGTGAACGAGACCACTTTATATAATAAATAATATCGAAATGTACAATATTCATCCAAGGTTACCGTTTAATGAGTATAATTATGTATACTTACGTAATTACATAAAAACAATCGGGACGTTCAGTTTTCGTTGTTTCTGGAGGTCGAAGAAAGGGAATTAATTATTCAAATATAGATGTGTCTTCTTTTTATTTCGAAAAAGGTATACCGAATGATGAATAAGTGTTAAAGTTTTTCTTTTACTTGATCACCGGATTCAAAACGTGTTGCAAACCATATGAACACGCCAAGAATCTCTGAACTATAATGTTCAAAATTAATTTTTCAATTTTTTTTTTTTCGGACACGATAGTATTGTCGAAATCAAATATGAAACAATAACAGTACAGTGTCCTAATATAGGATTCACTATACTTGCTTTTAAAACAATACATTCTATGTATATTTGTTTAGGCGATTATAATGGTTAATATTATGTACTATCACATTACCAACGGCTTTAAATATAATTCCTCTTCGGGTTGTTGGGAGTATCTCGAACCAATTGTTTAAACTGTCCACACAAAACCGTCGTAAATGATTTTGGTGTTAAATCCACACCGAATTCCTTACACGTATCTTCGAATGTGTCTTGCAACAAAGGTATTAGACTGTGATCCAACGCAGGAAATAGGTGGTGTAACGTGTGATCGCCAAATGTCGCCATTGACACAAATATATTGTTAATCGGTTCGCTCCGTTCTACGCTAGTGTCAATTTGATGGAGTCCCCAATCGACATTTTCGGTACTAGACAATAATATGACAATACGATTAATAATTAAATAAAATGTAATAATATAAAACTAATATTATTTTATAATATTGTATTAAAAATATCTAAATTTACATTAATTTCGTTGATACTTTTCACACATAAAAAAAATTCCAGAAAACTTATAAGAACCAAATTCAACAAAATAAATATATACACTAATAATCCAATATTGAATAATCGAACATTTTATACTGAAATCTTTAAAATAATAAATAATATTTAGGAAAATCCTGACAGAGTTTAAAATATTTCTATAAAATCTAAAAAAAAATGTATGAAGTGAATGTTTCATAATTTATATATTATTACTATTGAATTATTATATCAGACAACGATACTATTATTTTAATGAAACCTTAAAAAAATAAACTATAATAAATCATTAAGCTCATACTTGGGAGTTAATCAACAAAAGTCAACGATTAATAAATTGAATCTTATAAATAACATAAAAATATGTTAGATTAATTAATTTAAATCGAAAAAATTTTAATATTTAAAACAAAAGTCTAATAATGTTTGTAAATGGTATATACTTATGAGGACATTGTTTCAAATCGTAACAAAATAAATACCTACAAATCGTAAAATTACAAAAAATATTTTTAGTGTTTAACTAGACCCTAACCTAATTATACCTTAACTTATTTGAATCATAATATTCTCGTATTTTAATATAAATGTTTTAAAGCTAATCTATGCCCCTGATTGGGTATTTTTGTTGTGGTTATTGTCATAAAAGTAAATATTTATTTACTTTTTTTTAATACGTTACATAAAATTGCTTATAATATAAGTTAAAACATAAATTATTATATAAATTAATATTTCTCACTTAAATCGAATGAAAATATATTTAATTTGAATTTATTTTTACTTGATTAAGTCACCGTCGTGAAAATTTTCAGGAAAATGATGAGAAGCACTGAAACCAACAAATGTAAATATAAAACTACTTGTCAGTACTATAATAAGCCATGCGATGATGATAGAAATGATGGTCATTTGTCCGCAAAGCGTCAATATAGCAGGTATAACGAACATTAAAACGTCGGCGATATCGTTTTTGCGCTTAAAAGTTCTGAAACATATAGTTGCAGAGGTACACGGAAAAGGTTTTATGATTTGATTGATAACCGTACAGTACAATAACAAAACACACCTAATCACCAACTGCCCAGGTATAATAAAAGGGTAAATCACGGGTGTGAAATACGGGAACAGACGAACCGTAAATGGTTTGTCTTTGGTCGGGTACCAATGAATGAACGGGTATAGCAGTGTCATCTCCAAGTCCTGTATGGTATTAGTGTAAATGTGGTGACTGAGCACGTGCGATATTCTCCATTCCCTACAACATCATCGCATAACGCGTTATACACCTGCAGTGCCGACGTAAACAATATTATTCGGATACTCGTAATGACAACACCGACCGTACGGACATAAAGCATAATTGCACATAATACATCCTCCAGTTGTCTTTGAGATGAGTGAAATTATGACTGGCAACGATTCCGAATCCCAAAACGATGCCGGCTAAGAAAGCTAACACGAAGTTCTGTGTCTGAGCCATTCCCACGCAGAGAGCAAGCGCAATAAGGATGTACGTGTCGACGACCAGCATGGACTTAACGGACGCATTACTGTTGTCGACGAAGGATAACTTCTTGGCAACTCTAGACTTCAGTACGTTATAAAATCCATCAGGTTTGAAAGTAAAAGGCGATTTCCTTGGTGACTTAGCTTCGCGTACATAGAATTTATGCATCACTGCCGTGACCGCTTTGCCGTTCAAATGGTACGATTCAAATAATTCTGTAATATCGGTACCCTGTCATAAAAAATTAAAATATAAACTTATCAGCCAATATTTACATACAATTCGTACAGATACTCTATTGCAAATCACCGTTTTTAATACTTATTGATAAAACTACATAGGAAAATGTAATGATTAAATGAAAATGATTTTGCTATTTTATTTATTATTTGACAGACAAGAGTTTAGTGTTGTAAAATGTTAACTATACATTATATAAGCTTTGAAACAATATAATTTTATGGTCAAAATAAGAATATTTATAAAGATTAAATAATAAAACGTTTCGTAACCATTTGCATGTTACGGGATACGTATAAAATCAGTCAATGTCAAAAAACGATTTATGTAAACATTATCTATCTGAAATTTGTATCGAATTTCATCTGAATTCCATACAAATTATAGTTTAATTTACAGTAAGTTTATACAATAATTATACTTATTTTAGGAATTGTAAAATAATCAAATGAAAATTATAAATTATTTTGACAATTATTGCATTCAATTATTTTCATAATTATGGATACAATATACATTTCTATTTACAAATCTGTTATGTGGAAACACAAACATTTTGGGTTTTACCGCGAAAACAAGAAAAATATTTAAATAAATATTTAATTAACATTTCTTATATAGGTGGAGTTTAATGTTAGAAAACTTAAAAGTAATTATGTCTTTTTGCCTTCCCTCCCAATATTTCTCCTGCGTTCATTACTTATGAAATAATAATCAGAAATTTATGGGAACCTAAATAAAACAAGTGTACGTGAAAAAATACAAGAACATTTTTTTAAATATTCTATTAGTGAAACAGTAAAATGTGAAATCAAGAAAAACGACATTGAATTTTTATATTTGTAGTCCATGTAATTATTTTAAACCGTTGATTATTAGAAAAATAGTTCAATTTTATATTCCAATATATTTCTTATAGACGTATAATAAAATAATCGAATATTTGTATATATTAAATTAGATAATCAAAAAATATAAGTTATAAATTATTAAGCAATAATAGTTTATTTTGACTTTGTATTTTTGTCAATAGTGCATTATTGCATGTATTGTTTTAGTTTAATGTGCAGGTGATATAATATTAATGTGCGTGAAAATAAATATATTAAATATGTGTTTCGTATTTTTATTTTAACAAGATTTAAAGCCAAAAAAAAAAAAAAAATTAACAATAATATTAATCACTATAATAAACATTAATAATACCGAATTTTAATTTGAAATCATACAGATCACTAGTTAAATCAAAAAAAATGAGGAATAAGCAGACCAAGAACTAAACTAAACATAATCTATATAGTACTACCAATGTTCTATAAACAGAATGAAAAATCTGTGTTGAAAAATGAAATGCCTTTTATCTCAGGATAACCCACATAGCATTCTACCCTGAGCATCTACATTGTGTTCACAAAACATTTGTGAAGTTTTTCCCGATAAAATTTGTTGATTATTAATTTATGCATCGTGTTTAGCTGCAAATTGATACTTTTAACTGACCTATTTAAAAATTTTCCAAACAATTGGCCATGGTCACCTTGCTCCTCCTTAGATCCGGCATTGTATGTAGAATAACATAAAATTAATCCTTACATTTAAAATCATTAGTCTACAATATAATAGTATCGGATAACAATTTATTTTTACTGACTGTTTTATTTTTATTTACTGTTTTCATTAGATTTAGAATCAAAAATATAATCACAGTCTAATATACTAGAATAAAATATCATTATTTTAATAATAACACATTATATTTATTTTTTTCTCCGATATTTCTAAATTTCAACACAGAAGAGTTTTATGAGATGTTTTGTCCTTATAGTTTATAAGTAAAAATATTTTTTTTAGTAATAGTCAAGTAATCAAATTTAAATTGTATAGTACTTAAATTACAATTATATATTTACGGCAAATGAAATAAATAACGATTTTACTGGGTGAAAAACAAACATTTATAATGAAATCGGGTATAATTATAAATTGTTATGAGAAACACTTTTTTTTTATCATTTAGATATTATTTTCAAATACTTCGATTTGATTGGTTGATAATTATTTACTATCATTTTTATCACAAACCGATAATTTAGATTTTATGAATATTCATTTAGATATTATAATTGTATTGTTACAACATAAAAGTAAAGAATTTTAAACATTTATAATTTATCTTTTTTTCTTTTATTTTTTCGTTCAAGAAAGTATTGGACCCCAGAGCTCGTATAAAGTGTTAACAAATATATATGCACATACAAACGACAGGTACCAAAATACTAATTCTAAATCTAAAATATACTTAAACCTAAAAATATAAATATTATAATTCATCGATTTTTAAAAACTTTAAATTAAGCGTCTAAAGTATCTCAATGTGAGTTATTTTGGTACACAAACATGCTTTAAAGAAAACGTAACTCGTTGATTAGAACACATATTTTCTGAGTACCTACTTTCGTAATTTCCAACCATTGTCGTCCTCCAGGATGCTTAGGTATCCATTGTTCGAGATTGTACAATCCATCGTGAATTCTCCACAGATCATCTGCACCATCTTCCTTTTGACGTGCTTCGATCCAATCATCTACTGATTTCACGTTGTAGTCCGTGCTTGATAGATTATTCCATATAGACCAACTGCTAGTTCTCGGTGCCATGTTGAATTATCGTACACTTCTACTGTAATTATAACAAAAACTAATTATGTAAAACACTATAGGTCAGATATATCCTATAATAATTAAAATTTAATGATAAGAAATTAGGTAATTCAATTTTAACATATTTTAATACATCTATATCTCAATCTCATAACAAATAATATTCGAAGTTAGCTGTACAAAAGTTTATGCTGATAATACTACATAATCACGTTTATCGTGGTTCGTATTATTTAAGACCTCTAAGCCTTTGTTGTTTATATATTAGCTATATTAGTTTCTATCGATTTAATGTATAAAAGTCCAATCAAAGCTCAGAGTGAACTAAAAGTAATTTGACCCGTGGTCTAAATAACTTTCCGTTGAAAATACGTAAATGTTCATTGGGCATATACAGCACTAATAACCTAAGTGATTAGGAATTATTAAATCGCTTTTATTTTTACGCAGATATATGATAATTTTAATCATGGGCTAGTTCATAAATTTTTTAATTTCATTGCGACGTTAGCAGCTACCTAATTGTAAAGTAATATGAATGATTAATATAGCAGCTTTGAATAAATTGACTTATTTAACGAGGCATAGTGATTTTTATGATTGCGTTTTTTCTCAAAATATTTTAATGCAATATTTTTAGTTTTTTTTTTTTTTGTTTTTGTATAAATGTTGAACAAAGTCTAAGATAAATCTCAAATTGATTGTATGATTAGTTTTATTTATTTCTTATACTAATTAAAAATAATTATTTTCTTAATTGTTATTAATTATTTCAGTTATATACAAACAGTATTTCATTAAAATGTTTAAATGTTCGTTTAGTATAGCTAGTGAATGCATTTTTTCGAAAAATATATTATTAATTCGAATACCATAATAAACAACGAAACAAATATGTTAGTTGATACAAGTTTCCAATTTACTTTCAAGGGGATCTATTAATATGCAATTATATTATATTATAATATATATACTTGTATATATATATATATTATATATTCTCGAATACAATACAATCCATATATATATATAAACATAACATACATATGAGTGTGTGTGTGTGTCGACCAATGCTAAATTACCCGTCGTATGGGCATTTAATCAATAATATTAGTAAGTACTTGTAACAGAATACAGCACAATGCTGCACAATACGCATAAGTATAAAATACGATAAGTTATAGAAATAGAGGAAATACATTTTCGTTCTAATATATAAACCACGACCAGCTAATAGGGATTTATAAACTGTATGAAAGAGTATTGCAATGTTAACTGTAAGACATAGACGACATGTAATCATTTCATGATTGTAAACGAAATGAATACATAATTGCATACCCGTTTTTCAGTTTTCAACCTAAAAATCTTGAACAAGTTTTATAATTTTATAAATTATACCCGCCGAGAATAAAATTAACCCTAAACGGTTCGTAAACGAATATCAATCCGTGTGATACATTAAATTAATATTCATAATTTATAATTAGAAATGTTTTTTCTAATGTTTATGTAATTGATTAATTTTTAAACACCAGAACACTAATTTCTGTACATAAATATATATTTTGTAAGCATAAATTAAAACTTAAATTAAACTTAAACTTAACTTAAACTTAAACATTGAATTTAAAAGTGATCAATGTATTATATTGCTAGTTCACTGTTAAATAAAATTCATTTTAATTCAGCTGCTCGAAATCATTATTATTCAGGTTTTTTTTTTTTTATTGATTTCAAAAAACATCAAAAACAAAGGTATTAGTTTTTGGTTTGGAAAACGAGTACATTCAGGTTATTTTGTTCTATACTTCAGAAACGAATATACAAGCAAGCCAATTAGGGTGATCATTTTTTCTAATACAAACAAAAAAAAAACTTGAAAAAAATCGACATTTCTTAATATATTTTTAATATTTTCAACTAGCAACAAATACATTTCAAGTCAACAGCAACATTCAAAAATGATTTAATTAAAAAATTAAAAACAAAACAAATAACAAATTTGGATAAAAAAATTAATTTTCAATTTTATAGCTTAGAAAACAATAATTGAAGTTACTTTGTAAACTAATTATTAATCCAACAATAATATAGATAAATATCTTTTGATGTATGTCTTTTAATTAATAAAAAATACAATTTAAAAAATGTATATATATATTATCATTATTTTGAGAAAATGTGAAAATTGTAGACATTGAGTTTCAAAATTAAAATTTGAGTATAAAATATTATTTAACAAGCATACTAATATAAAACAGCTATTTAATAATGAGAGTTAACAATAAAATAAAAAATTACTCTTTAGAAACTATATATTTTTTAAGCAGCGATAAGAAGCCAACTTAATTTTTACTAAAATCATAGATTTAATGTGATATTCATTTTCGAAACCTTCGAAGATTCGTTACTTAATTTTAAACAGGCTTTTAACTGTTATATATATTAACTATATACTATATGTATTAGGAATGTATTATCGAATGTCAAAAATATGTTCCAAATTATTGTATTTCAGTAGCTGTTAATATGGTTGGTTTTTACTTTTTGATAACTGTTATTGACAAAAACTGCAATTTTATCATATTATCAGATTTAATAAAATGTATTTAATAGTAGAGTAATATATTTTGGTGAAATTCATAGACGAAACTACGGGTCAGGCAGTCAAGCCATGGCCTAACCTAATACTAATGAAAAATATGTATATATTATAATAATTATTATAATTATTATTAATATTTTAATAATTATTTAAGCATTATAAATAATATATTTATAGATGTAAACGTATAAATGTGTACATTTCATATAATACTATAATATAATATAGTATATAGGTACAATTGGTACAAATAAGGATTATAATAGAACATAACAAGTCTATTCTATGTACTCGAATAGTCGGTTTTATCAGTTATTGTTTAATTTAGACATTTGACGTTTATTTTTATAATTATATTATAGAAAATAATAGTTAATTTTACGTAATAATATTTTTTATATTTTTCATTTGGCCTGACTAATAAAAGTGTCTAGTTTCGCCTATGGTAAAATTAATTTACTGTATAATTTAATATGAAATACTATAACAATTTAATTTTGGGTTTTAAAATTACTTCCACGACCAGGCCCGTGCGTAAAAGAGGGGGTAGAGGTTCTACCCCCCCCCCTTGAAGATATTTTACATACATTTTTACTAAGAATATAAGTAGTCCTCATTTAATAAAAGTTAAACTGATTTGAAAATTCAAACATAGTTGTCTATTTTAATTTTAACAGTGGCAATTTTCTTGATTTAACGTACTTTTCTTATTAATTTTCGTCTCTTTTCCACCTATTGTCGATTATTGTTCTAAATGCAACCAACGATAGAATACAATTTTACTGATTAGTCAGCTGTTCAAGTAATTCAGACATTTGTTGACATTTATTGGTATTCAATCCTGATATTTTTAATTATAGATATTTCTAACATGTATTTTTTTATTAACTTCATAATCTAACATAACATGTATAATTTTGAACCCCTTGAACGATTCCTGTGCACTCAGGTCCGTATTTAAAAATTTGGAGCCCCTGAGCATATACTTTATACCCCCCCAAAAAAAAAAAAAAATAATAATAATAATATAACATTTATTATCTTGTCCATAATCGAAATTATTTAATATTAAAATATAACTTATAAACGAAAATTGTTTAATACATTTTTTAACTAACAAATCAAACAAATTATAAAATAATAAAACACACAATTTCCTTTTTTTTTTAATTAACAAATTATAATATAATAAAATATACTATTTTCTTTTTTTTATTGTTTTATTTTTTTTTCATCAGGTACATCATTTTTAAAATTAATTTTGCCACCCCTGAGACTTGACGCCCCCAAGCATGTGCTTACCCATGCCCCCCCTAAATACGGGCCTATGTGCACGGACCTGTACATAACATACTATACAATTTATAATACCAGTAATTTATAATTGATATATTTTGCAATAAATCCAGCTACATTAAAATAAATAATACAATTAATATGTTTTAAATGCTTCAAAATCACACTCTTTAGGTAATATGTAATAACATATTAGATATATACAATGTACAATATTAATAACATACTTTTTTCGTGATAAAAAAATTAGTTCAGTATGTACATCCGTAAACACTTAAACAAGCTTCATTTGTTTATCAATTACACATCCTTAAATATATTATTACGTTACATTATTTTGGCACAATTTTTTACTTAATATTATCAAACATTTTAAAGTATATTGCAACACGTCGATTGGTTGTTATTTTTTTTTTTCCAATTTACTTTGAATTGCAATTAAACTAAACTAATTTAAAAATGCCTGTGCTCAAGTAACAAAAGATTTACAGTTAGGGATAAGGATTTATGGTTAGCTTTTTCATACAGTATTATTGTAACTAAAACTCAAATTTCATAACTAAATAGTACATAAACTTCATAAATTGTATTGCTACTTTTCTTCTCGAGATTCACGGACGCGAGGACGATCCAGTCAAACACCTTGCTCTTCAGAATTACCATTTATCTCTTATTACTATTTTTAACATGCATTAAATTTATATTAAAATGATTGATGATTATTTTTCAAATCCCGTAATATATGTTTATTAATTATTTATTCTAAGCTGTATACAATTAATTCATTTAAATCTACACGAATCGAATTAAAATGTCCAACACAACAATAACAAAAATAACAATAAGCCAATAACCAACATAAAAATGATGATTTTATTATATTTTCGGTATAAACATTAATAACTAATAACAAAATATAGTATGTTCTATAACAGTTGACAAAAATAATTTTTCTGTAAGCTGTTGCAAAATTATACAGCTCATTGATCTTTAATAATTTAGATAGGTGCAATTTTTTCTTGTTTCCAGATACCTATTAATAAGAAAATAATTAAATAGAAATAAGAAAACTAAAATGAATAATCGTTAAAACTTTTGGATTCCATACGTACATACGAGTACTCTATTTTCTGAGTCACAATGAAATGAACAAAGGTACAATCTATCTGTGAATGTAAACATTATCTTAGTAGTTGTTATCAGTTGTAACTAATTGGAAATTCAACTTATAACATATTTAAACCATTTACGTGATATTCTCAACAAATATAAGCACACATTTTTGAGTGCTCCATTATAAAAAAAAAAAATGAAACTAACTATATAGTAAACTAATATGTTACAAGAGATAGTTTGGAATTCTTGAATTTTAACGATTTATTAACGATTTATTAGTTTTATTAGTAGTATTTTATTAGTTTTCAATAAAATTCGTATTTCAGCCTCCTTGATCCTTATTTATCCGCAGTAACTCTATTTTAATGAGTATTAGTTTTTAATTCAAATCCTATATCTATGAACAACAATTTTACTTGATTGAATTCTTTCATACAGAAAATATACCACATGAGGGGTAACCAAATAAAAGAAGAAAATAAACAACAATATTATTAAAACGTCCTATGTATTCATGCGTTTATATTCGTCAAAAATTGTGTACTTACTTCAAAACGTAACGTACACAGCGACAACGTTGAACGTATAATACCAGGTGTTGATACTGAAAAAAACACGTACTCATTACACCGGAGATCGAGAACTAACTGGCAATGACTATATTATTATACTTGCATTGTAATTGGTACGAAATTCAAACGACCATGAATAACGTAGGTCTTAAGTCAACCGGTATAATACACTGTGTTTATGTAGTCAAGGTCGATGGTTTTACCAGTTGTTTTTATACAGAAAAAAAATAACGTGAATTGAAACTCACGATAATGGCATATTTACTTATCAAATATTTCGAATTCTATATTTTCTAGATATTTTTCAATATGACAGTAGAATAATTAAAATTTAATTATTAAACTGATGATTGAGTACATACAGATATGGATTGATAGTTGGCATCTCGTTCCGCTAATCTTGGCTCTAGGTAGTATTGTATAATATTATATTTTTTTAGTTACTATTAAATAGAAAAACATAATTCATCTTCGCTGTAGTACAGTGTTTCTCAACCGGTGTGTCGCCGAGCAAGTCCAAATGTGTCGCGTGAAGTACTAATATTAAATGACAAAAAACATTATTAACACTATTAACTATTTACAAAAATTAATAGGTATTTGATATAATTTCCATGATAATAAAAATAGATTTTCAGCTATCGACATAAAATAAATTGTATTATTATCGTTGAGTTATTATTATTATCGTCATTTTGAACGATTAATCGCGCTCGAATCGCCTATTGTGTGTCATCTTAATTTATAAATGTTGGTTTTTGATATTTTTGTTTATTTTTAAACAGTGAATACGTATAGTATATTTATACTGAAAACATGCACCGTATCAATAACTCACTTTATTTGTGTGCTCAGTTGTCATTTACTTCTATAGTCGAATAGACTTTTTCTTAATTTATTAACAATATTTTTTTGTTACCAATTAAAATAAAAGGTAATCGCCGAATTCCGTCCCGGGTTGCTGAAAATGACCGAATTCCGTCCCAGAGACGGAGCAACTACGTCCGAATTCCGTCCCGGGGGTGGATAAACTATGTCCGAATTCCGTCCCGTCTAGTCTTGGACGATATTAATATAAGTTCAATTTTATAGAACTTCAAGAGGCTTCACCTGACATCACGCGTATCGTTTTTTTGTATTATCGCAATTATTCGCAATAAAAACGTAAACGATTTATATACTATGTATTGTGTATACCAAAGTCAGGTGTCGTCTAAGTTTTACCAGCCTATTTCAAATCTAAAAAATAATAATTAAAAAAAAAATAAATAATTTAAATAATAAATAATTTAAATACTAATTACACATAACATATATTATACTTATACTCTTAAATTTATTAAAATACTTATATGACTGTCATATTTATACATAAATGGCATATACTGTAAGTGGAGTTTTTTTTGCTCCGTATGTCAATAGTCAGGGGCGTGCCTAGAAATTTTTTTCGGGGGGGGGGGGTTTAATATTTTTACTAACACGTACCTATTTTAATCGTATAAGTGTATTTATTTTACTAGATAATAGATATTAAAATATTAATATATATATATTTATTATAATTGGTCATATATACAAAATTCATACAACATACATAAAAAAAAATCACAGAACAAATCCTTGTCTTCGAGGTATTAAAGCGAACTTTCTCACCACTTCATTAGGATCAACGTTAATTTCTTTTTGAATTGAAAGAAGAGCTAACCCAGTTAACCGATCTTCTCCAGTTGTGTTGCGCAAATATGTTTTGAGACGCCGTATAGTAGAAAAGGTTGCCGTAGACACGGGTAAAGTTGCTAATATTTCCATCAGTTTTCTTATATTTGGGAAAAATCTTTCATCACATTCTAATAAAGACTCTATTGCATTTGTAGGTTTTTTTTCAATATTATTTTTTAGCCATTTTAATTTCCATGTGGAGAATTCTTCATTAAATACTGTAGAATCTGGCAATAAACTTTCATAAAAGATAATAGTATCTTTTGATAGATCTAGTGAATTTACATTAATACGACTTGGAATTAATTTTTCTAATTCAGTTATTATTTGTTTATGTTTTATAAAACGATCTGATAAATTAACAATGGTATGGTCTAAAAATGAATTAAATATTGTGCGTCTATAATACTCTTCAGGCGATTATGAAGGAGTATTATCCCGGTTTATTTGTTTTTTTATGCAGCGAGGAATTGTCACTTCACTACCTACATCAATAAGTATTTGATAACATTTATCATATGTTAATTTAAAATTGGAACCACTATTATTATCACGAAGGTTACTAAGAGCATCAATTATATTTTGAACATGATCACATGCAGCAGTTAAATCGGAATTCACAGTCTGTAAGTGATAACATAGTGGTAATGTATAAGCAAATACTTTTTCTATTATGCTTAAAGTAATAAAAAATTGGCCATTTAATATTACTGAAAGGAGTTGATAAGCTTTATTGGAAGTTTCGGTATTAATTGATTTTTGGAGATCTTCTAACGCATGAATTATTGGAATGTACATTTCTTTAAAGCGATTAATAGCATCGTGTCTTAATATCCATCTCGTTTCACACATCGATAACAGTACTGTATGTCTACTACTTGGAAAATGATTTATCACATGCTTTTTTAAAACATTAGTGCGTTGAGCTGATCCTCGAAAAAAATTACAAACTGACGATACACTACCCACAGTATTTCTGACAACAGTTATCTTACAAGCATCAGTGATTGCGAGATTACGAGAATGCGCACTGCAATGGACAAATAATGCCTTTGGATATTTTTTACGTATTAAAGCTTGAGCACCATTCAAATGACCACTCATAGAAGCCGCGCCATCATAACCCTGGCCAATTAAAAAGTCTAAGTTAATACCAGCCGATTGTAAATTTTCAATTATAGTTGTCGCTAGACCTTGGCCACTTAAATCAAAAACAACTACAAACTTTAAAAAATCTTCCCGAATTAAAGGGTATGTCAAATCAGGATCAATGTAACGGATACATAGAGACATTTGTTCTTGTTTAGAGACGTCAGTAGTTTCATCTGCCATAACTGAAAATATCTTAGCCCGGTTAACTTTCTCAACTATTTTTTCTGATATAATATCACTACAAATATTTATTAATTGATTTTGTATTTTAGCAATTGTAAATTGTGCATTTAAACTCCCTTCAGTTAAATGTTTTTTTAAGATTTCATCTCCAGCTTTCACTCTAAATTTGAGTAGTTCACGAAATTTACCACCAGTTTCCCCTTCTTTATTTACATTTATACGTCCTGAATCATTTTTCCCTCTTAAAGACAATTCTAATCAACCACAAAGAATAATTGTTTCAACTATTGAATATAGTTTTTTTCTATTTTCCGAAGCTTGACGGGCTTGTTCAGAGTTTAAAACTTCAAACACAGATTTTTGCTTTCGATAATTTACTGACAAAAAATATTCTGCGCGTTCTTTAGATAATTTATGATATTGGCAATTTTCATGATCATTAAATTTCTCTATCGCATTTTTCCATTTTTTAAATGGCTGTGACACAAAACTTTTTGTTTTTTTCGTGACTACCTTTACCAGTATCAGAATTAGAAAACAGAACACAAAACTTACACAGAGCACCATTTTCTATTTCAGAATATACCAACCATGAAAATCTTTTAATCCAACTCATTTGAAAACGTAAATTTCGTTTATTAGTATTGTCTATAGGAAATACATATCCCCCCCCCTAGGCAAGCCCCTGTCAATAGTAAATAAATAAGGCTGTTTTGCCGGATTTTACATTTTTAAACATGCCAGCAAAGCTGCCAGTCCTAAGCCTGGAGAAAATGAGAAGGAAAATATTACTGCCAAATATATCATAGTTACAGGTAGTAGGACGGAATTCAGACATAGTTGCTCCGCCTCCGGGACGGAATTCGGTACCAGCCAAATAAAATGGATAAATTTTTGATTAAAAAAATACAAGTAAAAAGAGAGAATACAGATGAAGACAATTTGGAAACAAAAAAACTCGTCATCTTCTGTAAATGCATCGTCAAGTTTTAAAGAAATACAAGAAAATCCTTCTAAAAAATTGAAAGGTAAATATCGTCAATACAATGAAAATTATTTAAAATTAGGATTTTTTTGGGTCGGCGACGAACATTGTCCTATTCCTTATTGTTTGATTTGTGACGAAAAATTGTCGAATGAATCAATGGTTCCCAATAAGCTAACCCGCATTTCACCACAAAACATCAATCGTTACAAAATAAACAAATTGATTATTTTCGAAGACTATTAGATTCAAAAAAATTAAAATTATCTGGGACAACAACTGGTCGAGATGTTTTTGATGTCATAAATAAATATTTTAAAAATTATGGTATATCGTGGACTTCTTGTGTAAGTATTTGTACAGATGGGGCGCCATCAATGACAGGCTCTATTAAAGGATTTATTACAATTGCCAAAAATCAAAATCCAAATATAAACACAACACACGGTTTTTTACACAGGGAGGCATTAGATGCAAAAAGTATTGTTAATGAATTAAAGATTGTACTTGATCAAGTCGTAAAAATGGTGAATTTTATTAAAAGTAGACCTCAAAAAATTCGATTATTTTCCCAGTTATGTGAATCAATGGAATCTGACCACTATACATTGATTATTCATACAGAAGTACGTTAGTTATCAAAAGGGCGAGTTTTATCACGTTTTTATGAGTCAAGTCGTAATAAATTACGATTAATAAATTAATTCGTAATGCGGAAGAAAAAATTAACGAAATCGACAACAAATGTAGGAATAATTATATTATTGATATATCAACAACTGTTTCTAATGGTAACTAAGATAAACGTTGGTTGATTTTTTGAGATTGCCTATGATTG